ATTAGAGATTATGTATTTCTGATTCAGGAGTAGGAGTTACAAATTAAAATAGGGATTTCACTCTATTCCAGTGCTGTTTGACAAAAACAGTGAAACCAGATCCATGGAACCACACAGACAGTACGTCAGTGCGCACTTGACCATGGCAGTCTTTGCAGGATTGGGGAATAAAGATGTTAACCTTACCAACCTTTCAGTTGCAACCAATTTTTTCTTGTTTGGACAACTGAATTCCTAAACCACCTGTGTAAGTATCAAGATTCGTTTACTTTTATTATTCTGGTAGTGCTGAGGATTGAACCCAGGGCCCACTGCACACTAAGTGCATATCCTACCACTGAGCTACAACCCCAGACCCTACATGTCAAAATACAAAGTTCAATGGCAGCAGTGTCCACCAAATTTACATGAAGTCAATTAAAATGTAGATGGTATTTTGCTGCAGATAGACGGTAGGCAGTGTTATACATGATGTCTCAGTTACCTCTCCTGTGGCTGTGACACAGTACCTGACTCCCAGAACTTAAAGGAGAAGTTTCTTTGGGCTCACTTTTCAGAAGCTTTGGTTCTTGCATGGTGGGTGGCATGGCAGAAGCACCTGGGCAGAGAAAAGCTCACGTCATGGCCTCTAGGAAGCAGAGACAGAGGTGAAGGGAAGAGCTAGAGAGCAACATGAAGTTTTCCAGGCCATGTCCCCACAGAAACACTTCTTTCAACCAGACTGCATGTCCAGATAGCAAGTCAGCTGTAAAATGCCACAGTCAAATCATCTTCTGAAAGCCCCACCCACGAACACCTGAAACTCTTGAGGGGCATGCAGATCTAAATCATAACCCTCTACCCATGGCCTTTAAGAAGACTCAGGTGCTTGTTTTGTTTGTTTTCTTTTGGCGAAACCAGGGATTGAACTCAGACCCTTGCACTTGCCAGGGAAGCACTTATTCTACTGAGCCATCTCCCCGGCCCTTCAGGTGCTCTCTTTATGCAAAATGCATTTAGCCCATCTCTAAGAGTTGCCAAAGTCCTAATAGTTTTATCACTGCTGAAAAGCCCAAGTCTAAAGAATTCTTTGAGGGGTCAGGGAGATGGCTCAGTGGAATAAGCGCTTCCCTGGCAAGCACAAGGGCCTGAGTTCAATCCCCGGTTCCGCAAAAAAAAAAAAGAAAAGAAAAATTCTTTGAGAGTCAGCCAAATAGTTCAGGGGATTAAAGTGTCTGCAAGCAGGCATAAGGGCCGGGGGTTTGATTCCTGGGCCTGCCATGCCAGTCCTACCCCCGGGGGCACGCTGAAACAGCAACTGAGAATGGGCATGGGCGTGCATGCCTGTAATCCCAGCTCTTGGGAGGCTATAAACAGGTGAATCACTATGAGTCCAATCTATGTAGTGGAACACCGTGTAGACCTTTCCCTAAAATACAGAAAAAGAAAGAAAGAATTCTTTGAGACTCCAGGAAAATTGTTAGCATGAATCCTTGTAAATAGTAAAAGGAAAGTTAAACACTGCCAACATGCAACAGGGTAAATATTTCCATTCTAAAAGGAGGATATAGAGGGACATAAAGAATGGAACCAAAACAAGACCAAAGCCCAGCAGAGCAAATTTTAGATCCTGTAGTTCTGTGTCTACCACCCAGGATAAAATGTGAACTCCAAAAGCTTGAGTGACCTTGCCCCTGTAGGATGGCTGATGGCTGAAGTGCTCTGCTGGGATGGCTTTGCTTAGTCCTTCCAGCTTCTCTTAGATATACTACATTTCTGGCTTCTCCAACATTCTAAGGTCTCCACTGCACTTTCTGCTTCACATTCATAGCTTCATGCATCACTCTCAGGGGCACACTGCCTGGCCTCCCAGGCCTTCTCCTGAAATCTGAGTGGAAGCCTCTCTGACCTCACAACTCTTGCACTATGCATGCCTATGACTCCATCACCACATAAATGATGCCAAACTCTGATACCAGACCCTGCAGCAACTAACCTTTTCCTTGAATCATGGCTGAAGAGGCCTCCAAATACCTGGATTGCTGATCACTATGAATGGAATCCTAAGGACAAATTCCTTGGGCAGCCACCATTCTGGAATGTGGTATCCTGGGGCTCTAGTCTCAAAGCAAAGTCTTTGACATTTGCAATTGGAACCTTCAAAGATTTGTCACAAATCCTTATGGTATTTTTCCTGGTTCAAAAAACCTGGTTCCCTTTTAATGTTAATCTTTTCAGTAACCAAGCTCTCCTTTGCTCTAACTTTATAGGTCCCCATTTTACTGGAGTTTCCACTCTGATGAAATTTAAAACTAATCATTCAGCTGTGCTGTTTGTTTTTGACCCTCAAAGTACAACTGTCTAAAAGCCCTCACCAGTATCTTTGCCACAGCTCCAACATTAGGCTGCCCTGAAGTTTCACCAGATTAATTAGTCAATTAGTCAACTGAGTGCACCAGATTAAGTGCACTCAATCTCTGCACTTAATCTCAATCTCTCTCAAAGTCTCAGGACATGAGTAAAATGTAGACATATTTTTCTGCCACAGCATAACACACATGGTCAAAAGTTCAACTGCTAATGGAGTCCTTGTTCCCAACTAAGACCTCTTCAGCCTGGTCTTTTGTGTTTGTTTCTTTAAAAATCAGTATTCTGGTTTTCTGAGCACAGACACAACTATCACATTAAGCTTGGTTTACAGCATTCTAAGGCTTCTCTAGCTGGCATTTCCGAATCTTTCTGAACTCCTCCCAATACCACTTCTAAAGGCTTTTAAAGCACACGGTCAGGTAGAATCCTGGCAACAACCCCATTTCTGTAGTATCCAAATCTCTGAGTCAATTTAAGAGGTTCTTTCCCAGGTTTCAAGACATTTCTCAATGAGTTAAAATTTACTCATAGTTGATCAGAAGTTTGCATCTTATCTTGACTCTGTTGCTCAAGGCCTCTAGAATGGAAGCAGGAAACCAATTTAGGAACAACACTCCCCACCCACAAAAACACAAAGGCAAACCAACTATAGTCAAATTTCTTCATTTCTTTAGTTAGGGAATGGAGGTGGCAGGAGACACAAATCAATGTAGAGCAAACAGAAGTTTTTGGCAAATATTTTAAAATACAAATTTAAAGAGAACCAAATACTATTTTTAAAAATGAGGACAAATATAAACCCCAATATGAGATATCCACCAACATTATCTAGGTAACTGCATGGTCAATGGGGACAGAAGACTCTTGCTTGTACTTACCATTAACCCAGAAAACAGCAAGGAAAGCAAATGTGGATATTATCCTGGTCAGGGTTCTTTTGCCCAATTTGATATAGAAATCACGAAGATGCAAATGCATACCCTCCCCATGAGGCATTTTTGGGGCTTCTGCTGGAGCATAAGGGAAACAGGACATAGAACAGAGCTCCAGGCCTGGCCAGCTCTTCCAGGAGGGGAAGAGCAAAGCTTTTGTAGTTGAGGTGCTCACTGTCCCACCCCAGGAGTGGCTGGAGATCGAATTCTGTGCTGCAAGTTTTGAAAGAAGCAGGGGGCACAATTAGGGCATTCTAGGATGCATAGCTGAAAATTCTGCTTCTCAAAGACAGAAATATCAGACCTTTCCCATTCTTTCTCACTGAGACAATAGGAAAAGTGAGCTCATGTAGGGACCAGTTTAGGCAACTATGCTATGTGCAGGTCATCCACTCACTTGAAAGCTAGAGTCTGCCTGTCCAGCCTGGGCACTGACTCAGGAATGAATATTGAAGCAGGCCTAGTGTCTTTGTGTGGTATTGGGGATGGAACCAGTGTCTTTGCAATGAGCTAGGCCCTGAGCCTTTTCTGTTTTGTTTTGTCTTTTAATTTGAGACAAGATCTCACAAAGTTACCAACGACGGACTTGAACATGAAATCCTTCTACCCAGCCTCCCAGGGTGCTGGGATTACAGTTGTGTACCACATTGGCTGGCTATTTTTCCAATGCACTGTGCTTACAATCCCTGCATTCCATTCAGCAGGAGTGGAAGAACATTTCTCCAGCAGGTGGAATGAATGCTTAATGAATGAAGTGAGGAAAAGTTGCATTTTTGATGCTTTCAGTCTAGGACTAGGAAATGCCGCTTTAACTACTGAGGTCCCCAACTTCAGCCAGACATAACATTCGCTGTTTTGCTAGGCATAGTGAAAAGCAATAAATAATTATATCCTAGTTGCATATAAAGGATTTTCATTTGTGAGTTCAATGACATACTCTCATCATATTCCCAACCTGAAGCACCTACTTTAAAGCTGGCAGCCTCTTAAACTGCGTTCCAAGAGCTGGGATCAAAGAACTCTGCAATATTGGAAATTAACCTTTGCATACTGGATTTAAACCTCCCTGAGGCATCTAAACAAGCACTTGAGTTTGAAAGTATTTCACTATTGTTTTGAATGGCATGGTTAGAGTCTTGTGGGAAAATGAGTACAGAAATACAAGGGAATGCTGGTCTGATGTCCAAGTGACATCGAGTCCTCCTGAGCTTCACGGACACAAAAGTCATTACAGCTTCAGCTTTGCCTCTATCAATTCAAATCTTCAAACCTGCCTCCAATAAACTGGCTACAGTCACATTTTCAGAAGAAAACTAAAGCCAGAAAGCAGTGACGGATGCTTGGCGGTCCTCTGGAATGGGCTACAGAAACATCAAAGGCAATCATAGTGGGGTGAGGGGCAGGCGATTTAACGAGGCCAACACCAACTAAGGCTCCTAAGCGAAGGGCTAACTCCTCACCCTTAGGTACTAAGAAGGGAAACTGCAGGGGACAGCTCGGAGGGGAACAGGGGCGTCTGTCCTTTGGGATGGATCAGTACGGCGGGGCCCTGGAAAAATGCGCGAAGGACATCGATTATGCCTCAGGCGCTGCTCTCGCCACTTCGCTGCCGCTCAGGGGAGGCCCCGGCCTCGGGGCTTCCGTGGAGCTCCTCAGCCTCGCACTCCAGGCCCCACCTCGCGTTTCCGTCTTCTGTTTCAAACTTCCTTCAGTCTTCTCTGGACGCCTGACTCCTCCGCTTCCGGGAATCCGAGTCCGCGGAGCCGAGCTGTTGCCCCGGGAGAGGGCGGTAAATTCGACTTCCGCACTGGACCCACCCCTCCGCTCACCCAGCGGCGCTGTGTCCCCTCTCTGAGTACTGTGCCTGGGTTCTCCCCGCGTCTTTCCTTCGCTGGCGCCTGCTGAGTCCGCCCCGCCCTGCAAGGTTCGCGCTGTTTCCAGCCAGGTCCACAACGCGGCTGGTGGCAAGTCCCAGCCTGTTGGCGCAGAGGACGAGCGGAGTCCTTCACGGAGCCTCCAGCCGCTCCCACAGAGAAGCGAGCTGGCCAGGGGACGCAGAGCTTCCAAACTCGGCCTCCCTTGGGCAGAGTAAGTCTCGGCGCTGCGCAGGCGGCGGTGGGATGGAAAGGAGCGGCCCAGAACGAGGCTATTGGGGCGGGGGACGCCGCTGAGGACCAATCAGCGTGAGCCCTGCGGGGGAACTGGCCCAGCGCGGCCCGGATAAACAGACTGCGCGACCGTCGGACCCGGAGCGGTGTTGCAGCTGGAGACTGCTGTGGCTGCACGGTCCGCCTCTCTGAGGAGCCTCGCCTGATCGCGCAGGCATGGTGAGCAGGAGCTGGGGCACTCGACGGGTCCAGGAGGAGGGTGCTGCCTGGAGGAGGAAGCCCAGGCTGAGCGGGCAGGAAGGTGTGCTACGCTGGGTGCCAAGGTGTTGGGGGTTCACGACAAGGGTGCGCTGTGCGGGAAGGTGGGTACGCTTTTCTGCCTCCTTCCTTAGGAGGGATCGATGTGAGTAGCAAAATCCTAAGCTCTGAGAGCGCTGCTCGTCAGAGCAGAGCGATCAGAGGAAGTGCGAGGTGAGAAGTAGTGCAGGTCTCGGGCGCTGCGTCCAGCTCCTCTGTCTTCGGTGGAGCGCGCTCTGGAGTCTGGAGGGGACCTGGGGCCCACCCGAGAGCCCCCACCGAGAACTGCAGTCCCCGCCTCGCCTGGACAGCACACTCCCGCGCAGATGGACTTGCGAGGACCAGGGAACTGCATGGGCTAGAGTTTCCCGCTGTGCCTTAGTTTTGGGCAACGCCAGAAGCCAACCCCTTTGACCCCATACCTGATCAGGGCTTTCTCTAACCTCTCCGTGCCTGCTGAATAAATGCTGTTCTTTGCCCTTTTTCTTTGCTTTGGTGCTAGGGACTTGGGACCTTAGTAAAAACGGAGGACTTGGTGTGTGTGCAGGTCCCCATCCCATGACAATCTCTTGAGGCCCGCATCTGTGCAGAGCACTCTGGGTCGCTCTGAGGCCCTCTTGGAGGATGGTTCCTAGGATGCCAGACGGTGGCTATTGCCTGGTACACAGCTCTTCCAGCAAGTGGGAGGTGCTCAGTCCTTTCAGATGTCTTCTGGACTGCAGGTTGGGGATAAAGGGTGAAAAGATGGGAAGGTCTGTCCGCCAGGGGCCGGACCTCAGTGAGGAGGACCAACGGTGAGATGGTCTTCTCGCCTCCACTGTGACCCTGAGTGTACTTGCTTAGATGAAGTGATCTATTGCTGTGGACAGTGACAGGTGACCAGGATGGGCAAAGGTCTCCCTAGTTGTGACTGAGCTTAGAGTGTGTGTGGCTGTTATTTCCTCCAGTAATGAACAGGCCTGAGCATGGGCTCCTGTCACAGTAGGAAGGAGACAGGCAGTCACTGCAGTGAGCAAGCTGTGGACCTAGGCCCCAGTGCATGAGCCTAGAACCTCCAGAGAATCCTGTCTTGCTATCAGGACCCTGAGCCTTCCCAAGCCACTGTGTGGTGGGATTTGGCTGCTTGCTTGGGCTTTCTCTAGTCCCCATCCTGTAGGCCTAGGCACAGCCACTTTCTTCTTAAGTCCTGGGTAACTAAAGGAAGTGAGACCCTGGAGGTGCTTTGGCTGTAGGTATAGGAAGGTGTGGAACCTCAAGCCAGTCTTTTGAGTTTCAGCTAAGTACCGCTCAGCTGCAGCCTTCAGGGAGGAAGGGTAGACTGCTCCCAGGCAAGGCTTTGCAGGCCCCGACCCGGCTCACAGTGTGTCACTCCATCCCCACCAGCATGAGTGCGTCTCCATTCACGTGGGCCAGGCGGGGGTGCAGATGGGCAATGCCTGCTGGGAGCTCTACTGCCTGGAGCACCACATCCAGCCAGATGGCACCATGCTCAACAAGAAGACTCTGGGGACCAGACATGACTCCTTCGACACCTTTTTCACTGAGACAGATTCTGGCAAGCATGTGCCACGGGTTGTCTTTGTGGATCTGGAACCTGTGGTCATAGGTAAGTGGGAAGCCCATATTTCTTGCCAGGCACTACACCAGTCTGAGATGTGTTGTTTTTGTGTAGATGCTGTCTTCACAAAGGGTCCTGGGGACTTCCTATGCTGGGAGGACATCCGTGACACAGTTCTGCTGGGAAAATACCAAATGTTTGAATCAAGGCCAGACTAGAGTGGAATGGAGTTGAGCCAAAAGTTTCAACTTCCTTTCTCTCTCTCCCTTCCCCCAGTCTCTTGAGGATAGCTTTGCCTGAGGAGCTAGAGCTGGGAACATTCCTGACAGGTCCCTGCTGACTGTAGCAGAAGAGGCCGCCTGATAGGATTGGGCTTATGTGAACCTGTTTCCTCCCATGGTTTTGCTGCTTCCTTCTGCATCTTAGGTCCCATTTGTGAAAACTACAGCCTTCCTCCACCTTTGCAAAGAAATGTTTAGGACGTTAAACTGTTGACAGGGATTTTTACATTAATTTGTGTTCTTATCCTAAAGAGAAGTGAGTCTCCTCTCTACCCCGATTCTTCTCTAGCAAAACCAAGTGGTTCTGATCACCAGTAGGGCCTGTTAAAGGCACCCACTGGCCTCCTTCCCCCTTAGGACCAGGAGACTCCAGGCTTTGGACATGCCCTCTAGAGCTCTAGGTGTCTGTCACTCTATCATGCAGGAGAGCTTAACAGAGGTTCGAGGCCTTGTGTCCCCTGGGCAATGAAACCTGCCTCCCTTACCTTTGCCCCTCTCTCTTCCCTCAAGATGGGGTAAGAACTGGCACTTACAGGAAGCTCTTCCACCCTGACCAGCTGATATCTGGCAAGGAGGATGCTGCCAACAACTATGCCTGTGGCCACTACACTGTAGGGAAGGAGATCATCGATGTGGTGATGGAGCAAATCCGGAAAGTGGTGAGTGGGAGTGGGTTGCTGCCCCCTGCAGCAGGGCACTGCATCCTTGGCCTCCCTCCCTGGCCTGGCTGGCTGGCCCTGAACTGCAAGGGGAAGCACAGCCTGTGGTTGGAACCTGACTTCACTCCTCTGCCTTGTCTGTCTACTCGGATTCCCCTAGGGGGAGCTCTGTGGCACATCTTGGGAGAATCTAGGGTTGGAGGCTAGACAACTTGTTTTGTCCTGAATTTGTGGACTCAGGCTTTTGTCCTGCAAGCTCCACCTTACTTGCCCCATCTGTTTGATCCAAGACTTCTTGGGACTTGATCCATCCCTTACAGCTGGTTAGCTTGTTGGTCGTAGAGTCCTACATAGATCCTTTAAGAAGGGAAAGGTTCTGCTCCACTCTTACTGCTCCACTCAACCACTTCCCACCCCACCCATGCCCTATCCAAGGCATAAGAGTCAGGCTACAGGGAGCTAGCACTTGTGCCCTGTTGCTGTCTAGGGACTGGATAGACATTCTCTCTGCTGCTGAGCAGAGACTGAGGACTGTACACATCCGAGCAAGAACCTGAGACGTGGGAGTCTATGTTCCCCTCAAGAATGCCAATAGAACAAAGCACCTCCCAGGGATAGACCTTTCTTAGACTTCATTTCCTATGTATCTGGTATAGATTGGTGCTTTTCGAGGTGAAGGAACAGCTACAACAGGATTATTTAGGGCAACTGGCAAAGCTGTAGCTTACTGGATTCCAGTCTAAGATGGGACTGGGGATTCACACGGAACTGTCCCAATTGCTACTTTTCTGCATGTAGGTGGCCAAGCAACACAGACCAGTGAGCTGGGCTCCCTGACTGTGAGTCCTGTGTCTACCTTACCCTTTCTCCCCCACCTCACCCCTGCCACTGCACACAGCATTATCTTCCTCAGGCAGCTGTTTCTGAGGAGCATGGAGCCTCCTCTAGGTACTCTGTTCTCAGCTCAGTAAAGGAGAAGTAGAGTTCAGGAGGGAACCTCTGGGAGTGATGAAAATTTGTCTAAGTTAATTGGGTATGTGGGTATAATGCTTGTCAAAGCATTCATTTTTGTGATATGTTGATGACAGGAAAGAGTTCCCTCTGGACAGGGCATGTGTAATCTGCATCCCTATGGTTTTACTTGCTCTTCTAGACAGACCACTGCAGTGATCTCCAGGGTTTCCTGATCTTCAATAGCTTTGGTGGTGGCACTGGCTCAGGCTTTACCTCCCTGCTGATGGAGCAGCTTTCTGTAGAATACAGCAAGAAGTCCAAGTTGGAGTTTGTTATCTACCCTTCCCCTCGAGTGTCCACAGCAGTCGTAGAACCCTATAACTCCATCCTGACTACCCACTCCACCCTGGAACACTCAGACTGTGTCTTCATGATGGACAATGAGGCCACCTTTGATATCTGTAACCGCCACCTCGACATCGAACGCCCTACCTACAGCAACCTCAACCGACTCATTGGCCAGGTTGTGTCTTCTATTACAGCCTCCCTGCGTTTTAATGGCGCACTCAATGTGGACCTCGCCGACTTCCAGACCAACCTGGTGCCTTATCCCCGTATCCACTTCCCCCTGGTGACCTACTCACCCATTATCTCAGCCGAGAAGGCCTACCACGAGCAGCTCTCCGTGCCGCATATTACCAGTGCCTGCTTTGAGCCTTCCAATCAGATGGTCAAGTGTGACCCTTGCCGTGGCAAGTACATGGCCTGCTGCATGCTCTATCGTGGAGATGTGGTTGCCAAGGATGTCAATGCTGCTATTGCCACTATCAAGACCAAGCATACAATCCAGTTTGTAGATTGGTGTCCCACAGGTTTCAAGGCAAGTTGGGGATGAAGGGAGGGTGTAAATTGTGGCCTGTGCACCTCTGAGGAGGGAGAGTCCCCTAGAGCTGCACACATCAAGAATAGATGTACTGGAGAAGGGGTGCACAGGGCAAACTGCAGGTTCAGAGGCTGCTTTTAACTTGATTCATCACAAGTGATCTACAAGCCAGGCCTTTGGACTAGAGGCTATGGTGGGGTTCTCTTTGAAACATTGTGTCACAGGAGATTTATCAGTTCATGTCACTTAGGCAGGCTTTCTCTAGTTCATGTCACCTAGATAGGCTTTACCTAGGCATGCCAGTTGAGAGGAATGGCCTCTCTTGCAAGTGCCTGTGACACACACATGTGGTCTGGCCCCCACTCAGATGGGAGTGCTTGTGGAAGCCCAGAAAAGTCTCCAATCGGACTGTGGGAAACAGGTCAGAAGGCTTCTGTGTTTGCACCTGCGTGCAGTCGCTTTCACCATCATGCAGAAGAACTTGTTTACGCCCACACTGCTGTAGCTGAGACCCAGTTTCAAGTGTAGGGGCTTTGCGGTGGGGGGTGAGACTGGAGAGAATCGCTATGGCAGCTATGGCATTAGAAGACATGTGCAGCTTTCCTGCCAGGTGACACTGCTGAGGGTGTGACCACAGTGAGCGGGGAGGTGGGGACCCAGGTCATAAAGATGATGGCCACTTGCTAGTGTTGAAGAGCTGTGGCATGCGAATGGAGGGGAAGGATACTGGGGGGAAGATCACCCTATCCCTTGAGGAAGAGCAAGCTGCTCAGAGGAAGACTAGGCTGCTGGTAGGAAGTGGTAAGCTTGCTGTCCGCGTGGGCGTTCACGGCAAGTTGAGTGATTTAAATGAGGGCTTGGGAGAGTACTGAATAGGATTTACTATGTTGTGCTCTGAGTAGGATAATATTTAAGTGGGTTAAGTTTGCATTCAGCTGGAGATTTTCAGAGCTTTATGTTGTGAAACCTCATTTCTAAACTACAGTAAGGAGATAGTACAGCTAACACCTATGACATACTCCCCAGCTTTCCCATCTAGATGTGTTCCTTTTTCCTTTGCTTTGCTGACCCAGTCATACCCACCTAGATAATGTATAACATAATCATCTGTTTTTTGTCTAAAAAATTAATAGTAGTTCCCCTGAATGAGAATACCTTATAGGATACAAACTTTCCCTGTGAGTATAGGGAAACTATACTTGACTATATTTTTATAGTCAGGTTTTAAAATGAAGATCAAATCAGGGACCAGGATTTTTATTTATGTGTCTCTTAAGTCTCTTGTGTAAAAGAGCCTTCCCCCACCTTCTTTTTTCAGCCTTGTGGATTAAACCTTTGACTGAGCTTTATCCCAGCCATTTTTATTTTGAGACAGAGACATGCCAAATTCCTAGGCTGGGATTAAACTTATCACACTTTGATTTCATCCTCTCCTAGTGTTGGGGTTTTAGGAGCCCCACTACGCCCAGCCTCCACCCTTTCTCTGGGCAGTGACTTAGCGGGACTACTTTGGTCTTGTAGAATGACCCAAGTTCTGGATTTGCCTGTCTCCTCTCTGTACCTACTTCTCAAAGGTGTGCAAATACCATACACCAGTGCCCAGCCTTTCCGCAGCCACAGTGCCCAGGGCAGACCTCTCCCAGCACACACTGAGCCAGCCACTTAGACCACTCTCTGTTTCCTCCTAGGTTGGCATCAATTACCAGCCCCCCACTGTGGTGCCTGGGGGTGACCTTGCCCCAGTGCAGCGGGCAGTCTGCATGCTGAGCAACACCACAGCCATTGTTGAGGCCTGGTCCCGCCTCAACCACAAGTTTGACCTCATGTTTGCCAAGCGGGCATTTGTGCACTGGTATGTGGGCGAAGGCATGGAAGAAACAGACTTCTCTGAAGCTCCAGAAAACCTGGCTGCTCTGGAAAGAGATTATGAAGATGTGGCCATGGACTTTGTGGAAGAGGAGGTTGGGAGTGAGGAGTACTAGGTGGTCTCCACTCCAGTGATGCCTGCTTTTCACTCCCCGTCTGTACCACTGCTTCCTTGTTTCCACAATCCCCTGCACATACGCCTGTGTCCCCAATACTGCGGCATTCTGTGCAGGCACTGGGCCTTCCCCACACCCTTTGGTGTCGCCCTGAGCAGGGGCAGACTGGCCTCTGCCCCCAGGGACCCCAGCTGGCAGTGTGTGAGGAGTGGTGCTGCACCCGGCTGAGAGCAGACCACCTGACACCTGTGTTCAGCTTCGGCCCTGGGCTGTGCTGCTGTGACTCCCTGTGGGACCCCACACGCCCCTGTGACCAGCCCTCCCCAGGGAAGGGCAAGCCTAGAGAGGCCATGAGAGTTCCCTGCCCCTGCTGTTCAGGGCAGAAACTGCTCCATGCTGATACCTGGAAGGAACCAAACCCTGTTAACATACTCTCCCTCCTCTTGGCCATCAGAGGGTAGAAGAGGTTGATGCTGCACTCCAATCTGGAGCCCCCACTTAGAATTTAGTGCTCTACCTGATGCCTTGTAAAGCCACGGGGTCCAGGAAACAGGATTCCAGGGTCTTTAGCAGGGGGCCTTGTAGCCCTACATGGGGCTCACCCACTATGCGGGTACTATTTAAAGTGCCTATATGCCTTTCAGGTGAGAAAATCTGCACCTTTATTCTCCCTGGAGTCCTAGAGAGGATGCTGGGAACCACTGTTCTCTGGATAAACCCATTTGGTCACATGTGGTCCTCAGACCTCAGCGTATTTGTCTGTTAATGGTTCTGGCCGTGGCGAAGGCTGGACAGAGGGCCCTTCCAGCCCAGCCCAGGCTTCAGGAATTTCTCTTGAATGTACTTGGTAAGTGGCCAAGGCCTGGAAGAGGGGACAGACTTGTGCTATCTGAGAAGGTCAGGACTGTGCAGGGGCCAGCGCTGCTCCTGTCAGGGTAACCCGGCCAGAAGGGTCCCCACCCCACGCTGGCCTGGATGTACCCTCTGAGACGTGGACACTCATTCTAGCATGCCACTCGGGACTGGCTCTGCTTTTTTCCAGGAGGTAGTAAGTCTTGAGGCTCCCTCCAAATGTCCCCTGTGGCCTTGCCTAGGGCTCTGGAGACCAGTTGCTAGCATCATTCCACAGACTCAGTCCCTGCATCTTCCAGCCTTGTGGGACCCATTCCTTGAGGGGTTGGCTGATAGGATGGAGGCCCAGAGCCCAAACCGCACATCTCACCCCAAGCACAGAGGCCATGCGATGGGTAAGGTTCATGCCCCTGTGTGACTGTCCTTCCTAGGCAGTGTATCTCTCTCCATTTTCCTTTTCATACTTCTATTGTTTTGTGAGGATTGAAGATTCTTCTTTTTTCTAAGGACTCAACCCAAGGTATTTGCTCTGAGCTGTATCTCTGGCCTTTTATGTTTTTATTTTAAGGGGTGGTCTTGGTAAATTGCCTGAGCTGACCACAGACTTGAGATCATTTTGCCTCAGCCTGCAAGAATCCCGTGATTATAGACTTGGGTGCAAAGCATGGCTTCTCTAGTTTCCCATCTTCCTCTGCGTCTGCAGGTCTGAGTAGAGGCCTGACAGCCTCCTAGTGCTGTTACACCCTTTCCCTCAGTCCTCACAGTCCCCCAAAGACAAGCTTGTACTCATTTGTGTTGATTCCCCAAAAGCACTGCTCTGACCCCGATGAGTTATTTTCCTGATTTATGCCCCAACACACACCCCTAGTTTAGTGACACTGGGCTCCCCTGGTGTACTTGTTACTATTTCAGTTGCTAGCATCATTCCACAGACTCTGTGAATGTCTGTCTCTGCCTCTTTCTCTGTCTCTCTCTATAGCCTGCTCCTGGTGCTTCAGCTCCTGGTTGCTCTGGTACTAGAAGGACTGGGGCTAGATGGGGAATGAGGTATAGAAGGAAGGGAAAGAGGTTCCTCAACCCTGCCCTAGGAGCGTGCCTATTAAATGACAGGGATCCGTTCAAATTCTCAGCCAGTATCTTCACCCAGGACCTGAGTGGCAGGTGTTTCTTTCCTTTCTTCCTTTCCCTGTCCTTTTATTCCCTGAGCACATGAATTTGTACCTGCTAGCAGTTCTTCATCTGTTACCCTAAACCATGAGAGAAACCACCCGTTCCTGCCCCCAGGTGACCCAGGAAGCAGGAAGATGTCCATTGGGGGCTGGACATCGGAGCTAATATCAGTTGCAAGCATTTGGATCAACTGGTGGCTGCCCTGTTTCCTCCCTGGCCTACAGGGGGAACAGAACATAGGTCACATTCTCCTCTTTTAATCCCTTTTAGTACTTTTGAAATAAGCAAGAACAGCCTTTGTCAAATCAGTCCCTGGTCAGAATCCCTCCTGCCCATTTCAAAGCACTGCATAGGACTGAGTCCGAGGGAGAGTTCTGCTTCAGTTCCTTTAATATTCATGCTTGAACAGGGTAAGACTGGAGAAGACAAATTCTTGCTGTGGGAGTTGTGATCTGAAACTGTTGTCACTAGGACTCTGAGGGCTGTATTTGAAGCCTGAGCACAAAGCAAGCATTGCCTTTCTTGGACTGGGATTCTTCCCACTGGTGTTCTTGGAGCCCGTGGTAACGATCTGGAGCAGGTCTAACCTATGGTCTGAGCAGGTCTAATCTAGATCGCCTTCCATTTGTAGTTGCCCTAGAGCCCAATAGCCCGTGGAGCTCGGTTCTGTGTAGTCCCTGAAAGTCAGTGTGGCCATTCTGATAGTGATCTGGGATCAAAGGCTGGGACTTGGCCTAGATGAAAAAGAAGACTAGAGCTTCTTCCAAAGTGCGCAACCCAGAGTAGAAAGTGCATGAGCTTTTCCTGTCCAGGAATGTAGAGCTGGGCCAGGAGTCTTGGCTGGTGTTTTCCTCTGGCACAGACTTTCACTCTGTCTTGCCCTCTTGTAGACTGGTCCTCCGCCTGTGCCCGAGTGCAGAGTGTTAGGGTGGATTGCTCAGCAGTGTAAACTTGTTTGCTGTTTGGTGCATTTTTCCTGTTGGATCCCGGGATATGGTTATTGTGTTCGCTTTCTGGCACTACTACTATACATCTGAGATAATTTGTGTAAAAAGAAAATTAGGGCCATGTGCAGTGGCACACTTCCATCATACTAGTTTGTTAGCTGAGGCAGAAAGATGGATCGTAAGTTTCATTTCATCCTGGGCCGCTATGGAGATGTGGTACCACCATTAAAAATAAAAGTAGGTTTCTTTTGTTCAGCTTCAGAATATCCAAAACATAATCTGCTGTCCTGTGGAAAGAGATCGTACCATGGTAGGAGTGTTTGACACAGCTAAACTGCTCACCAGGAAGCAAAAAGAGAAGAGGACCTGGGCGTGGGGGCGCACCCCCTATAATCTCAGCACTCAGGAGGTTGAAACAGGAGGGTCACTTCAAGCTTGAGACCAGCATGGGGGCTACAAAAGTGAGCACAAGGCCAACCCCATCCAAACTGCATAGCGAGACCCCATATTAAAGACCTCTTCCTAGGATCAGGGTCACAAGGTTTTTGCTGCCTCTTTAGTACCACCCTGGAGTTTTTCTGTTTGTTTGTTTTTAAATACTGAGTTGGGGCCTGGTCTGAAATTAGTGATTTTTTTTGGTGGTACCAGGGATTGAACTCAGGACCTCATCCTTGCCAGGCAAGCACTTATTCCACTGAGCTATCTCCCTGGCCCTTTAGTACCACCCTGGAAAGCATGCCTTCCACAAAGGAGCCAAAGGGAGAGGTTCTTGGGGTCCGACTGCCTTTGAGAAGATCTCTGCCGCCTTCTGTGTTCTCAGCTCTCCCCTGAAGCTCCGCCACCCTGGGCCTCTGGGACATTGACCTTTGGAGAGTCTGTGACCTGAATCATCTTGCTTCTTACAGGCAGTCAGTCTCATGCACTCGTATTCCTGCAGGCCAAGAAGAACCTATTTACTGTCTCTTTCTAGCTTGCCTCTTTCTTAAAGCTGAGAGGAATCAAGAGGAGATGTATGTATGGGGTGCCTACAGGGCAAAGGATCCTCAGCTCAGCCAGAGAGACTTCTGGGAGGATTGGCTCCCAGACCAGATGCTGGAGATGGGCGGGAATACAGGGTGGGGAGCTCAAGGGAGAAGCTGGTCTAGGAAAAAGTGTGGAAAACATGAACATCATATTCAGGTAACCTTGAGTAGTTTATAGCTGAAACTTGAGAAAGTAGAAGCTAGAGGAAGAGATACTGTGCTGAATAATCTTGGTTTTTGAGACATTTCTCAATATTTATTGAACAACTACTGTGTGCTATAAGTTATTCTAGATGCTAAATACCCAATGGAAATACAAAGAATTAGAATTTTTTAAAAAAAAAACCTCCCCTAGGGCAATGATGGCAAACCTTGTAGAATTTTCAGTGATATGAATGTCCCCTGTGGCACGCATGCTATAGGTTTGCCACCACATTTGTCCTATATTGTCCTTTTACAACTCAGGCCCCAGTGCTGCCCAGGGTGGCGGAGAATAGAGCAAGAACCTCTGCTCTAGGGCAGTGGTTCTTCTATTTTCTTAAGGCATTAAAGTATGTTCATTAGTATACATTTGTAACACTTAATATTGGGACTGGGGCGATAGCTCAGTGGAATAGGCACTTGGCCTAGCAAGCGCAAGGACCTGAGTTCAATCCCCAGTACCGCAAAAAAAAAAAACACTTAATAGTTATATTAACTTGAGAAATTGGTACATATGCATATCACATGGTTTAAAACTTGATCTTATTATCATGTTTTCAGTGCATGAAATTTATTTTGAGTAGGTACATGTATGACATATCTTCTCTGTTCCCCTTTCCCTTTCCAGCCCCTCCCTCTGTCTGCCTCTTGGTTCTCTTTCCCTATTTGTATTACTATCATTATTTTTTAGTTCATGTTTATAATGTTTACATTCATTATGGGTATTTGGTGCATATATACATCTTAAATCTTTTACTTTCCCTTCCCTTTCACTCTCCCTCCTCTTGCCGTAGTCTCTTGGACTCCTTCCTATTTGCAGCAGATCTATCTCCCTGTTTCCTTCTACCAATTCTTTGTTTTGTTTTTTATTTACACTACCTTACTCAAATGAGAGATACCATACAGTTTTTAAGCTTGTGTATTGATTTATTTTACTTAATGTGATATTTTCTAGGTTTTCCATTTTCCTACAGATGTTTTGTATTTATCCTTCTTCAACAGCCAAATTATATTCCACTATGTATATAGATATCATATTTTCTTTCTCCATTTGTCTGT